AACTGAGTTAACACACCTCTATATGTGGCAATATTTAACTTCCCAATGACAGATCACTAATTGTATTTAAAGTTAATCACTTCACATAGTTCTCCAATTCCATTGTTGTCTTTTATTTTTTCAAATTACATTTTATGCTGTCTTCCCTTCTACCTGCAAGTATCTAGCATATCTTGTTCTGAAAGCATCACTTCTTCTTCACAGGTGTATGGGTAGGCATGCTGACAAACATACACACACATAAATAAATACAAATTAAAAAAAATTCAAAGCCCTCTTTAAACTGGCCCACCAGTGATCACTTTTGGATTAGGTATTCTTCAAACACCTGAGCACTTTCTTAATAAGTATAGTTTAGCAAAGTCTCCCATTTTACTGACATGTATGTAAGATGAACTCAAGCACCTTAAAATCAAGACAATTTGAAGGGCAATCTAATTAATTCATTGCTTAACCATCTGTATATTTTAAACATTCCCTCCCTCCCTCCCTCCCTCCCTCCTTCTCTCCCTCCCTTTGAGGCAAATTAGAAAAATAAAATCACTTAAGACGTTATTTCTGCTATTATTAAAATTGCATGTGATTAGAACTTTGCACATCCCATGTACCTGCTATGTACTAACTAACTTTGTCCACACAAGAGAAAGACATGACCACTCCCACGTGCAATAGGACAGACTCAGGTTCAGAGGGATTATCCACTCACCATCAAGAGGTGATGGAGGGGGAGGAACAGGCCTCATCAGAACCCTGCCCCTAGTATCAGCAGCTCATCCAGCAGCTAGCAGCCGCTCTACTCAGCTGCTGACATCTTTCCATTGAAACAAGACAGTAAACAGCAGACTGTTTTAATTATAGTCCCTCTTAAAATATAGTGAATCATTACAACAAAGACAGAAAACAAGACACTAATGTTAACTAGTCTTAAAGTTAATATCAACTTGACAGCAAATAGTGAGTTTATTTTCCATGCACTGATCAACATAAAGCAATCTCTACATCGAGAGACTTTTAAGCAAAATAAAGAAGAGAACCTAGAATTTAATCTTATTGATCACCGATTTTCAAGCATTTAAAACATTTTTATTCTCTATTCATAAGCTGTAGTTACTTAGTCAAGTTAACCTATAATACAAAAAGTACCAATAATGATTGAGTTTGGCACATAAGTTGTACCTCAGCAATAGAGTATGTGCTAAGATAAAAGAAATTTTGACAAACTGGCCAATTTTACAATATATTATAGGTTATAAAACCCAAATAATTGGGGCTGGAAAGATGGCTCACTAGTTAAGAGCACTTGTTGCTTTTATAAAGGATCTGGGTTCAGTACCCAGCACCCACATGGTGGCTTACAACTACTTGTAAGTCCAGTTCCAGGAGATCTGATGCCCTCTTCTGGCCTCTGTAGGCACTAGGCACATACATGGTGCACAGATATACATGTAGGCAAAATACCCATACACATAAAATAAAAATAAAAATAAATCTAAAAAAGCCAAACAAACAAATACTCCAGAGCAAAGACGCCATACGAGTAACAACAAAACACATATATGCAAAGGAGGGGCACCAATTTCAAATTCTGTAAGTTAATAATAGATGTTTTAAAAGGCAAAAATGGCAAACACAAGCAATTTATATTGAAAAGGAAAACCAGACCTCTTCAGTTAAAATACACACACTTGTGAATATCTATTGCTTCCACCTTCATACAACCCTCCTCCCTGCAGCAGGTCACAGTACCTCAGTCTCTTTCCTCTAGAAACTTAACTCCTCACCATTCATTTGTGTGGTTTGAGACCATGTTTTCCCTTGCCCTAGTCCATGGTAAGAGAGAAACACAAGCCTGGCCACAAAAAGCATTCTTATCACCCTGGCTGCAGGGAGAGCCTCTGGGACAAGCTGGCTTTGCTGACCAATGATGCCGATACAGAAAAGGGCTAGATGTGTGGGGACAAGAGGGTCTCTACGGGGTTTCCACACTGGGGTGAAGGGGGTAAACCTGCTGCTAAGCTTTTCGAAGGAGTGTGAGGCCAGGTTTCAATTATTTTTCTATTAGTATTCCCAATTACATACCCCCCAAAGGGAAATGATTCCCTGCTGGCAGAACGGGTTAATTATAACTATGACTTTGTGTGTGTGTGAACTTTTTTCTTTTCTTTTTCTTTTTTTGAGACACGGAACTCACAATGTGGATAAAGATGGTGTTGAACTCAAAAGAGACCTGCCTGCCTCTGCCTCTGGAGGGCTCAGATTAAAGGCCGGCCAAACCACACTAGGCCCAATGTTACATTTTTTGTAATGTTTCTATTTTTTTAACAGAATACACTGTTTTTATAATAAGAAACAAACATAAAAGATAATGTCCTGGCTTCTCAAACATGCCCAGATAGTAACATTTCATATTTTTGTTTTGTTTTGTTTTGTTTTTCGAGACAGGGTGTCTCTGTGTAGCTTTGCGCCTTTTCCTGGAACTCATTTGGTAGCCCAGGCTGGCCTCGAACTCATAGAGATCCGCCTGGCTCTGCCTCCCCCGAGTGCTGGGATTAAAGGCGTGCGCTACCACCGCCCGGCAACATTTCATATTTTTAAAGCATTAACTTTTTTTCTCTTGATTTACTAAAGTAGACAAAACATCTGAAAAGAACTGCCTCTTTTTTGACACTAAAAGAAGCTATTTCTGCCGAGTGGCCAGCCTGGTCTACAGAGTGAGATCCAGGACAGGCACGAAACTCAAAACTACACAGATAAACCCTGTCTCCAAAAACAAAAAAACAAAAACAAAAACAAAACAAAAAAAAAGGAGGAGGAGGAGAAGAAGCAGCAGCAGCTATTTCTATTCTTAGTTAGGGGGAATGCTGAGGTAAACCTTTAAAAAAGGGATTTTTATATAAAAGGAGGAATACCAAATAACTCTTTGAGGGGAAAATGGATAATATTTAACATGTGCTTTCAACATTGTAAAAACTGTTCAAGAGCTAAAACTAACTTCAAAGTTTCAAAGTTAAAAAAAATTACATTTAAGAAAGGCTTTATTGGTCAGCCTGATGGTATATGGCTGCAGTCCCAGCACTCTGGAGGCTGAGGCAGAAGACTGCCATTAAGCATTAGTCCAACTGTGGGGGAGGAGAGTGGTGCTTCTTAATTACTTTAGTCTAATAAATGATAAAAAAAAGTCTGAAGTAGTTGTTCAGTTAAATATAGGTTATAATTATTTCATGTCATATTCAATTATGGGAGAAATTATACATTACTAAGGTTTTTTCCCCCTTAAGTATAAGAAAGCAAGTCTTTGGATGTCTTTTTGAGAATATAAAAGCCTAAAAAGGGTAATGAATGAAGCTGAACACAGGGACGCATGCCTGCTGTTTCAACTATTACGGAGGCTGAGACAGTGTGTGCCCAGGACTTCAGGGCCAGCTTGGACAACACAGTGAAACACTGTCTCAACAAATAAATCACTTTACTGAATACAGTAACTACGCTGTGAGACTCTAGGAAAACAACCTTGAAGGCAGTGATTCACCTGCTTTTACTGGCTATCACTCTCCCTGGGCACACAGGCCATTCCTAAACCTTCACTTTTTGCTAATTTTATTTTGAATTTTATGACCCTCTCTAAGGACACTTAGGTGTTGATGACAGTTTCTTGGCATGTAGGTAGCCAGGGTGATGTCTTTAAGTGGAAAAGATAACCAAGAGATTTATGAGAAGTGGGGACGGACCTGCAAGGTGGGGCGGGCCTGTAATCCCACCCACCAGTGAGTAGGCTGAGGCAGAAGGATGCACACTTTAAAGCCAAACTGATGAGCAAAAAACAAACAAACAAACAAACAAAAAATCCTGTGTCAGAAAAGAGAACAGAAACAAAACTAAACCAAACCAAACAAAGTAGCTGGAGGCCAGAATACCTTCCCAGAGAAGCGGCATTCTAAACTCTTTAGGATCAGTAAATAATCGACACGAGCATCACGTTGTCCACATCAGAAAGCAATCAGGATGGTCACGGTGGCCTGGCCAACTTTTTTGTTTGTTTCAAGATGGTGACAATCAGTGAGACCTAAATTCCCCAGCAGCTGTCAACTCTGGACTTGTTTCATCTCATGAACAAACTCCTTTCTAATGGTGCTTGCATCACCTCCACACCTGACCCTACTGGCTGCTTTAACGTAAACAGGTCTATCAAAGAAGACACCCCCAAAGTGGAATTGAAATATCTATTTAAAAACAAACGGGGGGAAGGTCTTTTGGAAGCGTCGCGGGAAGAAAATGACATTCTTAGTTATGAAATGTTTAGTCTATTTACATGTAGAAATATTTGCACTTACTTCAAGCACCTGAAAAAGCCAGCAAGAAAAAGAGGAGAGAGAAAAAAAAATAAAAGGTAAACCCTAAGATTTATGAAAGTGACAACTTATTATAAAACACAGTCCGTCTTAAACTCCTCTTCCAACATTCACGTACCATCAGTAATACCTGACTCATTCCTGAAACATCAGGGTAGCCCCGAATAGGACCGGACAGAGACAGAGAAAGAGGGAGACTGAGGACGCAAAGTCGCCGGTGAGAACGAACACGGAACAGTCCGAGAAGTCTGCAGGTAAGGAGCCAACGATTTCCCTCTTCTCTCTAGCCCACGAAACATCTACCATCTTTCTATCGCAGCTGTAAAGTCCTCCATGCACTTCCCACCACATCCACGAATTCCAGGAGAACCAGTCAGGACCACCTCTGTGTCCTGGTCGCCGGGGGAGAGGATGCACGCTGAGGCTGGCAGACGGGCACCACAAGTTCTCCCCGGACAGGGGTAAAGAGTGAAGGAAGCGGAGGACCGATCCTCAGCCTATCACCGACAGCATCACCAAGACAGCTGTCCCGGCGGACCGGAGAAGTGGCCGGATCTCAGAGCCGGACGAAAGGCTCGTCCCTAAAATCCTACCCGCTTCCCCTCCCCTCAACCGCTGCCTCGGCGCAGCGGCCGGAGTCCTGACACTCACCCGCCCGAGCTCCAGCTTCAGCAGCAACTCCAGGAAAGCCGCCCACCTCCGCCGACCATAGAGACGCGGCCGCCGCGGAGCCCAGCCCTGCGTCTGCCACCCACTCTCACGTGACTCCCCTTAGCCGCTGGGCCTGTCGGGATCTTGGCGAACCGCAGCAGGGAGGGAACCAACAAAGAAAAAAAAAAAATGGGGAGGGGCGGAGAGGCAACCCCGCCCTTCCTTAGGGCCCGCCCACTCTTCGGGCCCCGCCTGGGCCCTCCCTGTCCTCCGGCCCCGCCCATAGGTCGGCACCGCCCCCTTTCTGTTTAGGCGGGAAAGCCGGCGGGTTTGCAGAATCCCTGGTGCATTCCTTTGCGGATTTTGTTTTTCTGTTGTCAAAGTGCATCTCTTCTGTGGCTCTTTCTATTTAAACTCCGCTCTGTGGTAAGTGAGAAAGTGCTAATGAGATTCTTCCCACCAGCCAGGAGGCTCACACTGTGTTTTTTTTAAACATCTTTTTATTTATTCTTTGACAATTCCATACATGTATACAATGTATCTTAATCCTACCCACCTCCAATTCTCCACTTTCACGCCTCCCAGACGCTTCCCAACATGTCTCCCAGCACTTAGAACTTAAGAGGCCAGTGTGGGTTACTTGGGTTACTTAAAAAGAGCCTGTTTCAAACTATGAAAAAGAGGGACTCGGCAGGTAAGGGCTCTTGCTGCCAAGCCTGAGTGGAAGAAGACTGACTGATTCAAGTTGGCCCCTCACCTTCAGATTTATGCTGTGGCACTTACATACGTACAATATGAAGAACTGAATGAAAAGCGAGAGGGAGATGAGGAGGAAGTAAAAGTCTTCCCTATATATTAATAGGTGTTTAGTATACATTGCCCTTGAGAAGCAGGACTGTTAGCTCTGAAAATTGTAAATTTCAAGTTGCATCCTAAATGCCATAGAACACTTTGGAGGCTCATGGGACCTTAGCTGTAGCTAAATTAACTCTTTATTTGAACATGGAAGAGAGAAAAAATTATCACTATATGTGTTGATTTAAAAAATTTAGCCAGATGTGGTACAACTGTAATTTCAGCATCAGAGAGAGAGAGAGAGAGAGAGAGAGAGAGAGAGAGAGAGAGAGAGGCAGTAAGTTCAGGAGTTCAAAGTCATACTTAGTTACATAGTAAGTTTGAGGCCAGTCTGTCTCAAAAATCAAACCAACAAAAATCTATGAAGATCAAGAAAGGCAATGATTAAGTTGGGCATGGTGGTGTGTGACTAGAACCCCTGGAGAGATGGAGGAGAAGGATCAGGAGTTTAAGACTATCCTCAGCTACACACACAGCAAGCTGTTCTCTAATCTCCATCCTCATGCACACCACAACATATCTGCCACCACTACCACCCAGCCACATAATACTCATATGCATAATACATAAATAAATGTTAAGAGAAATTGACTTCCACCCAGCCTCCACACACACACACACCCCCCCCCCACCTCCAAGCTACTCTGGTGATAAAATGCCTCACACTTATCTGGGAACATTTTTGTTTTAGTTTTTTTTTTTTTTTTTTTTTTTTTTTTTTGAGGCAAGCTCTTTCCATATGGGCCAGGGTGCCCAAGCTGTTCTCAAACTCACGGTAATCCTCCTGCCTCTGCCTCCAAAGTGCAGGGGTATAGGCATACACCACTATGCCTGGCTCAGGTTAAAATAACACAGATTCTTGGATCATAAGGTATTAGATTAGAATGCTGCTCAGAAATCTGAATGTTTGAACTCCCACATGATTTCCATGCAAATGTTGTATGGGAAAAGAAATGGATTCTGTTTTTTCTTCTATGCCATAGCATAAAATATCTCTATTTTGACTTCAGCATATCAAAAGTACATTCTGTTGAGAGTTCTGTATTATCAAGAGAGAGAATGTTTTATTTCATTTGGCTAACATATAAATTGACATACTTTCGAGCATTTCCTAGTTATCTATTTTTATCACATACATAAAAGTAACAATTCCAGGTGTTACCACAGCAGACTCAGCTTATTACACGACTGTGAAAAATACAATGTCTCCTGCAACAGGCATCTGAGTGAATAAAGTGCAATTTCACAAAGCTTTCATTCAATTTCTTTCAAATGAATTCAAAAGAGATGCCCATCTTTAGTTATCTTCATCTTCAGGGTTTTATAAATTATAGGCTTTTAAAATCTATGCAGACTTCCAAAGCTTTCCTTTCTCTTGTAGTGCTGGGGACTGCACATCAAACCTGGTGCATTCTAGGAAGAGTTCTACATCCTAGCACTCAGTTCTAGCATGGAGCTACATCCCAACCCATTCTTTTTGAGGAACTCTTATAGCCCAGTGTCATCTAGAAATGTAAATTCCTGGTTGCTGTTGTAGTGTGTGTGTGTGTGTGTGTGTGTGTGTGTGTGTGTGTGTGTGTGATTTCCCAGTAAGTATGGAAATAATTATATTCAAATAAATAAGAAAATATTTTTAAAAACTTTACATTTCCCTTCCTTTTTATCACAAAGGGAGCAAGGAAGACCAGCTAAATCAAATACAAATAAAATTTTAAATGCATTTCTCTTCATTTTGTGGTTGAAGATAACTTCAAAATTTAAAAAAAAAATCACTTCTCCTATTTTGATTTCTAAATACATTTTTTTTTTTCACAACAAGGAAGCAGGACTTCATGGAGAAGTGGCTGAATTCAGGGCGAGGGGAGAAAGGTGCAAGATGATCTATCTGGAACATCTTGTACTAGAAAGTAACATCTTGTACTGTGCCCAGGAAATCAAAAGGCACATGCCAAAAGCCTGAAGAGTTTCAAAGTGGCCAATTGTGGGATAATTGGGGTATTAAAGAGTAATAATGGGCCATACATAACCCACTGAATAAAACAAGAGTCTTTAGTAATAAAGAGCAGGAGACGCACAAATGGATGAAAGATAACAGCTGCTCCCTTAACATACAGTTACTGCTGATGAATCCAAAGAGGGCAGATTGGGGGAAAAAAACCCCACCAGTTTGCAGTTACCATGGTAAAGATTGAGCAAACATCATCAATGGATACTAGAAGGGGTAGGCAAAAAGTTTATGAGAAGCTAGATTTTTTTGTGAAAAGAAGACAAAAAGTCAGAAGGACCTAGTTTTATGTATGAAAAAGGACTAAGGAGACTTGGCCACTAGAGTTAGGACAGGACCCTAAGTTGAAACTTGTACCAAAAGAGAACATCTTATAAAAGATTTATTGGAACAATTGAAGAACTTGGAATATTGATATTTGAAAATTGTGTGGTTATGTAAAGGAATATTTGTCTTAGTAATTTAACATGACATGCAGGGAAGTAAAGAGCATAATGTATGCTACGTATTCTCAAAAGGGTTAGAAGAAATAAAATTGTAAGACAAATTGCTAAATGGTCTTATTAATAAAAACCTGGAGCCAGATATTGGGGTAAATTCTGAAAGATCAGAGAAATAGGACAAGCCAAAGCCAACCTCATCTTACTAACCCTCAGCTTTCCAAGAGACCTACTTCCTGTATACCCACACCTATATTCCTTTCTGTTCTGCTAACTCATTTCCTCTCTCTGCCCAGCTACATCACTTCCTCTTCCTGTCCAGCTCTGCCACTTCCTGTCTATCTGTACAGACCTCCAGACATTTATGGTTAACTAGTGTTGGAATTTAAGGAGTGTGCTAACACACCTGGCTCTGTTCCCAGCGTGGCCTTGAACTCACAGAGACCCAGATGGATCTCTGCCTCCCAAGTGATAGGATAAAAGGCGTGTGCTACCACTGCCTGATTTCTATGTCTAACATAGTGGCTGGCTTTTTCCTCCGATCCTCAGATAACCTTTATTGGGGGGGGGGGACATATGTAAAATTATCACCATATAAAATAACTAGACAGAAAGTGATAAAGCCAATACAGTGAAATGTTCAAAATTGATAAATTTGAGTAAACGATAGTCAGATGTTCCCTGTACTTAGATTTTTTTCATCAAGCATTTAAATGTTTATACTTAAAAAAAGGTTTTCTAATTACTCTTTTTTGTTTTTGTTTTTGTTTTTGTTTTTCCGAGACAGGGTTTCTCTGTGTAGCTTTGCACCTTTCCTGGAACTCACTTGGTAGCCCAGGCTGGCCTCGAACTCACAGAGATCTCCCTGGCTCTGCCTC